CCCCAAAACCCCAAAACCCCAAAACCCCAAAACCCCTTTGGGTCTCTAATTTATTGAAAAATTAGCTCAGATTGGTATAATAAAGATGGCAGTAACGACTACACTATATCTTTATATAGTTGACGTAGTTCTGTTAGAGCGTGTTGGAGAGTACGAAAAGCAAATTTTTAAATACGAAAAAGAGCTTCTCTGCATGGGACTCCTGCCTGAATGAAAATGTGATCAATTACTGCTAAAACATTCAAAATTTTCTCGAATAAATCGCTGATTGATAAAATAAAATATCTTCAAAAGCCTCTTATTATAAAAAGAAATATATTATCCTAAATGCTGGAGGTTTTGGAAGAAGTTTCAACTAAATCTAATCAGCCAAAGTTAGAATCTGAATAATTTTCAGAAAATTTTCAAACCTTCATATTTTCAGAGTTCTCAAGAAAAAAATAATTTTTACAGGTTGAAAAGTCCTAGGTTTAGCAATATTAGTAAGGACTTTCTTATAATTACTTTAAGTTCTAATCCTGTCATTTAATCAGGCCTTAAGTCCAGGATTAGGACTTGATAGTCCTGCCTGTTGCTCGAATATTTGATAAGTCATGGAGTCTCAAAAATTTCATAACTAACTTCCATGAGAAGGAAAATTAAAGAAATTCAGGAGAAAAATATGAAACTGGAAGAAGATAACAGCTCCAACAGAATGCAACTTTTTTTTATTTAGCCTCTTTTGTAAGCTTTTTAATTATTTAACCAACTAGATACTCTGAATTATATAGGTACCTTCATATTTGCCTAAGAGGATAAAAATAAAGGAAGACGGACCAACGAAGAGCACTCCCAGTTTATTGATTGTACATTCAAACTAAACTTTAGGCTTGAAGAGGTATGGTAAAGATTGGGGCAGACTCGATGAAATTGTAAGGCTTCTTGCTAATTTTTGAGATACCCACTAGAGATGGTCTACAGATCAGGTCTCACAGTCAGAAATATTTTAATAGGATCAAACAAGGCTTCAATACAAATGACCCAATAGAGTATATTCGGAAAGGAATGTGAGACAAGTCCCCATTCTACAAGTTTGACAAGTCTAAGTTCAATAAGGCTCCCGCACACTCTGAAGTTGCCAAGAAAATACCCTCTGAGATCCTGAAAGAATCTATGTGCAGAAAGAAAGCCAGTAGTCATGAAGATAAAGCATCAGCCCAAGTATCTCAAAATAAAGAGGTCCACCAAGAACTCAGAAATAGCCACAAAAAGAGACACCTGAAACACCAGAGAAAATACTTTGAGGACTCTAGTTCTTCAGAATTTTTCAAGTCTATAGCTAAGAATAGCTATGAGAAGTCCGAATATCACCAAGTGAGCACTCCAAAATTGAAGAAGCATGCCGAGAGAGTTCACAGGAGACTCAAAAAGACTCGGAGTCATTTTAGATATGGGCGTACAGAACCTGACAAAGTCTACCTCATCAAGAAAGTTTTTGAGTTGAGCAACTGTGCGCTTAAGCCCTATGCTTTGACAGAACTATCTTAGTGCACAGCTAGAGCACAACAGGTTAAAGGAAGAATCGGCATTCATGAGAGTGGAGCCGATATTGATTCTGAATACAGAGGGAATTCAGTAAATATTAACATTCTACCCAGAATTCCTAGACATACTGTTAAGATGGAGGCTGATTCTTTGAATGAACCAAGTTCGAATTCTCATGTTGACGGAGTAGATTTAAGAGCGGTAGGAAAGTCAAAATTTTTATGCTTTCAGACTTTCCCTGCGACCCAAATTTATTTCTCTGACAAGGGCAAATTTATGTCAGGGGGCTTTCAGACTCTTGTTCAGAATAAGTACCGTAATGAAATGAAACCTGTAATCAATCCCAAACATTCTTGGCGCAATACACATTTTGATCAGCAAAGTATACAATCAATAGATATTTCTCTATCCCAGCTCTTGGTGAAGAGTTTTCTGAAGAATTACTGTATTTGCCAGAGATAGAGCAATCAAGAGACTTTCTGTGAATGGATAGCAATTTCAACAATGACGTGTATAAATGAGAAATGTATTGAAAGGATATTAAAATTATTTCACCTCAACTTGCTGAAGGCATCTCGGGGTTTTGGGGTTTTGGGGTTTTGGGGTTTTGGGG